CCCTCAGCCGCTCCTCATCAGACTTGTTCTCCAGACCCCTCACCAGCCTCGTTGCCCTTCTCTGGACACGCTCCAGCACCTCGACGTCCTTCTTGTAGTGAGGAGCCCAAAACTGAACACAGTATTCGAGGTGCGGCCTCACCAGTGCCGAGTACAGGGGCACGATCTCTTCCCTAGTCCTGCTGGCCGCACTATGTCTGATACAGGCCAAGATGCCATTGGCCTTCTTGGCCACCTGGGCACACTGCCAGCTCATGCTCAGCCGGCTGTCGACCAGCACCCCCAGGTCCTTTTCCGCCAGGCAGCTTTCCAGCCACTCTTCCCCCAGCCTGTAGCGCTGCATGGGGTTGTTGTGGCCAAAGTGCAGGACCTGTCACTTGGCCTTGTTGAATCTCATACAGTTGGCCTCAGCCCATCAATCCAGCCTGTCCAGGTCCCCCTGTAGAGCCTTCCTACCCTCAAGCAGATCAACAATCCTGCCCAACTTGGTGTTGTCTGCAAACTTACCGAGGGAGCACTCGATCCCCTCGTCCAGATCATTGATAAAGATATTGAACAGAACTGGCCCCAAAACTGAGCCCTGGGGAACACCGCTTGTGACCGGCTGCCAACTGGATTTAACTCCATTTACCAATGGATTTAGTATCCTACTATTAGTAAGATCTTCTCCAACCATGGATCTAAACATAGGCTGATCTCTCAAGATTCTCAGCATGAAAAGCAAATAGAACAACTATGAAATGTTTCAAAAAACCACGTCATTCAGCCTAAAGCCTTTAACAAATGCAACGAACTCCACCTCATAGTATTACAAATCCAAGGAAAAGGCATTCCCATTTGGTCCAAGCAGAATGCCCACACAAAGGCTAAACCCATCTTTCTCTTCAATTCTTCCCAAAGGGCAAACACCTAGTGTTATCCAAACAATTCAGATATCCTACAAACACCTAGCACATCCAAATAAAAGCTCCCTGTCACCTATCAAGTTGGCACTTTATTTTTCCCAATAGACAAAACTGCAACAAACTGAAGAAATAAGACAGCTTTGTCATACACAATTTGGAATGATCCATATACAAAAGTTTCCAGGAACAGGATATTTAGACAGCTTTAAAAAGACAAAAAAGCACTCAGCACTTAATCAGGAGGTTGATCTGTATAATAATATGTCGTTTCTTATTCAGAAAAGAGGACAATCAAAGAAATAGGGTTTGGCTGTTTTTGATCTTTCGAATATTTTTATTTATAACACGATTGTCTGCAAGAGAACATTAGTGACTAAAAAACACACCACAAGAGAAGTCTCTATTTAGTCTCATTCATTGGGTATAATTTTTAGGTATTTAACTGCACTTATTTAAGGGCCCTAAAATCAATGGAGCTTAAGTACATGTTAAAGAGCTTAAAAGTGGGAAATCTTGTATTTTTCCTTGGGAGATCTTGTATTTCCAAGAACCTTGATGTTCCGGGACATAACAGCAAATTAGAAACCTGTATTTTTCTACAAAAGCAAACAATCTGAAAATGTTCATTTTAAAATGAAAATTAAATACTCAAGTAGTAATCTAGATAGGGAATCACCTTCCTAGCTCTGTAAGTAGTCAGGAATTTGAGAAATTGATCCGCACAGGAAATAGCCACCTCAGTATCTTGGCAAAGACTCATGGCAACCCGCCCCCTTCACTCTTCCTGCTCCCTGCTTCCCTCCCTTGAGCAGCTCTGTGTATCTATAGGCTGAAAGGCACCTTGGAAATGAAGGAGTGTGAATCATATGCAAGTTGGAAGAAAAATAAATGGGCCTATTGCTAAATCTGTCAAAAATGAACAGAATTACCACATTCTGGTTCAATTAAACCAGCTTTTTCAGTATAAAACTAGTGCATTGGAAAAGCTTTGGACTGCTTTAATCCCAAGTATCCAGACTACGCTACTTAATAGCACTGAAATGACCACTTTAGTCCCTGTTTTTGTGTCCTCTCTCTTTAGATATAGAAAGGAGTACGCTTTTAATTAGAAAATAACGATAACATAAGAACAGTAACTAATAAGAGGCGCTAATATTCCCCGCAGGAATCGCAGGCCATCCAGTAAAGGTACAAGAAGCTTAAAAAGCCTAAGGCATACTGAATTACTAGTGTAATATATTTAGACATGTTTCTTTCTGACATAGTAGACATTCACTTTTATAATGGAAATAATTTTTTATTAGAATAGCCACTATTTGTCCACATTTTAACTTGAACAGAAATAGAGCTTGTTTTGATCCAGTATCTTTAAACCTCTTTATTTCTCCTTTGATTAATCTAAGTGTTCTCATATTGGTTTCCTCCATTTCTTCAAAACCTGAAGATCTTTAAAACTGCTTGAAAAACGATGAACAAATACATTATGTCAGTATGGTATAGCTTTCTAAAGATGGCTATGATATACCGTGACAGTGAAATAACAGTTTGGCTTGCTAAACTGTTGATAAAAAGTAGCTAAAAAATGAACATTTTTACATTGTGAAGTTTCACTTTTAATTTTGATAATTTCTTTGCAAGATTCCTGGAAAGTTATAAATACATCTTAAAGACAAATTTTACATTAATTCAAAAAATCTTTTTTAAAGCCAGAGGTGAGAGCTAATAACCAAAAGCATCCTACACACAGAAAGTTCTGTAACAGCAAATGTTTAGAAAGGTTCTAGGGAAATAGTAAGAATTCACAATAATCAAATCAGAAACATGCTTTACATTAGTAACACAAGTAGCAAGCAAACGTTAAAAGAAATGCACTGGCGTTCAGCCAAATTACGGATTCTCAATCTGCATTAGATTATTTTAAGAGCTTGCTTGAATTTGCACAATTTTATTTTGACAATTTTTTTTCCCTTTATTTCTGGGAACATGCTGTTTCCCGACAGAAATGACCTAGGAAGTGGTAAAAATGGAGAATATCAGCGCTACTCTGAGTAAAGCAGCCTTGCTTTATTTCTCTTTTAACATTAAAGAGGACCAGTCAGTAAAAACTAGTAGAGACTACTTTAGTGTCTATGATGAAAAATACTCCATCTCTCTACATCAGTACGCACACTGTGAAAAGATTAAGCAG